GTATTTTTGTCTTCTGTAAAACAATTTTGATTTTCCTGGTCACATAGTATGGTACAGATGCCTTTGATTTGAATTGGTGTACCTACAATCCTATGATCTATAGAGTTTTCTCTGAGTATGGTTTCTGTATTTTTGAGGTGTGAAACAAATGAAAATGGTAATAATATAATAACCTCAGTCCTCATTATCCATGCATGCTGTTTCCAAAGATTTGTTATATGTTTCTATTAAAGTGTAACCCATTTTTGCTCAAACCTAGTCTCATCCTGGCTATATGCAGCTCTGCATAATCAGGAAAAAGTCTGAGAGCCATACTAATGCTGACATGACCTACATATGTTTTTCTTCTTGCAGTGTTTGCTGTGTTCTCTATGATATTCTGATAATAGATCACATGATTTCACTAGGATCAGTGCTTCAGCCATCATGGTTTCCATTTCTGTAGGGGTTTGAAGAAGGCAACCAGGGTGGGAGTGCTGTGGTGTGGTAGGAGAGAAAGAAAGAGAAAGATTGTAATAAAAACTGATAGGGTGTGTTAAAGTGAGCTGACTTTCTTCCTGTTGGTGCCAATATAAATCCAGATAGAAAAGTGGATTTTTTTTTTAAAAAAGAGTCTTTTTAAGATTGGTTATTGTATTGTTTATTGTTTTATTTTTGTTGTAAATGCGGGCATTGGTCAGGAAATGAATTTCATATTATTGTCATATTTGTAAATGGTCAGTATTTGAGGCAGTTGCTAAACAAGGTTTACCTGAACCTGCTTTTTTCTGGTTTTGACTTTCTCACTAAGTTGACATTTTCCTATATAATAAAGAGAGTAGCTTGCAAAAGAGCTGTTATTAGAGTATTCATTTGAATTACTTTCAGCTCAAGTAGCTGTTTCATTAGTCGGAACCTTGACATCAAGAGCAATACAAATTTAAAGAAAAAGGAAAATAAAAATAAACAAAAGTAAACATTGGTATTATTGGTTCCTTTGAACAATAAGAGCCATTAGACCCAGTAAATAGCGAGAAGTGATGGAAACCAGTTGGGAGCCTGTTTTTAGGCCTCCTGCCCCATCATTTGTTTCCTATGTTCAGGGATGAGTACTGTCCTGTAAAAATGAGTTTCAATTGGCTACTGTAAGTTGAATTGATTTTAACTTTGTTTTAAACTAGCACCAACTGTTCCATTTTTTCATTTTGCTATTGTTTATATATTACTTTTCATCCATTAGGAAGAGTGTTTTTAAGAAATCTTGTTAAAAGACCATTAAATAATATTGGAAGTGTGAAGAGAGATGACATCACTTTCTTTCTCTAAACGGCAAAAGGGATTTAGGACATGGTCATTATGTGTTTAGTGGAACAAAAGGAATGATAAAACAATATTTACAGTTATGCAGAATGGGGGAAAGTTTGATTTTTAAGACTTAGACATGAAGAACTTACCAATGCAGCTATAAAAGTGGGCTCTGAGAGTTCTGGGAAGCCACACATCTTAAAAGTTGCTGAGCTTGAGATACACTGTTTTACTTCCCCAATCTGACCTCTTCCTACAGCTTGTTACAGTATGCATTTATTTATCAAGGGATTTGGAATGAATGGACTGTCATAGTGCAGGATATTTTAATGAGGGATAGTCTATTGGAGTTGATTTCATAGTTGCAACCAGAAGGCATGGAACTGCATGGAATTCAAACTGAAATGATAACACAGATTGGAATTTTCTTAGTCCTAAGTAAGACACGCAGCACATCAAATGTTACTTCATTGATGATTGATTGATATTGTTGTCCATTTTGCTGAGGTAACTATTTGGGGCTTTTCTTTGTTCTCCCAGAAAATGCATTTAGACTGAAGGAAGACATTGGCAGCAATATCTGTGTCTTTAACCTGGCAGAGTTTCCCTGATTCTGATACTTATTCAGCTTTGGTAGCTGAACTTTGTCATTAGTTAAAAGCTTCCCAGTCTGGGTGAAAGACTAGGCTCATCCATAGTTATTGCTTATTATTCTATATAGTATTACAGCGGCTCCCAACCTTTTCTATACCCCACATTCCTAGAACACTTCTGATATATTCTCGTACCCCTTACAGAAGTTCAAAATAATGGCAATGAATTATGCATATACATTATAATTTTGAAAAACCCCTGGAATATTGTCGAGCACCCCAGGTTGGGAACCCCTGTAGTATTAGGTCAAACATTTGTTGTTGCATAATAGCAGCAACAACATTTTGGGGTACTTGAAGTTTAAGGAAGAATGGTGAAACCTATCTGTGATTGTGTGCAGCACATATTATAGCAATGGCTAATACCACAAAAAAGGAAGAATGAAAACAAAGGAAATATATTGGCTTTCATTCTGTGAAGAGATAAAAAAGAAAAACTACCTTGTTTTTCTGTCTTTTATGCTTGTGAGACTACAAATTCCGGGAACTGGCTGTGTTCTGAATATTCTGTGTGTGTGTGCATGTGTTTAATTGGTTTTATCCTATTTTCTCATAGCTTTGTTGTTAGTAGAGTCTGTTAAACAATCTGAACTGCTGACATTAAAATTTGGACATACTTTTATTTTACACTTACTCTTTTGAGAGATGAGTGAAAGTAATCAAAATTATTTTGTGTGCATGACCTTTATAAATCAACTGGCAATCTCTTCATTTTTCATTTGCTTTTGAGCTCCCAGTGGTGCAGAATTGTAACAGATGGAATGAAATGTAATTTGTAGATTTTAGAATATGGTAGGAAACCGCTGAAGTCAGTAAACTCCATATAGTATAGCGTTTTTAGCTAAAAGATGTTTTGAAAAATGCAAAACAGAATGATTCTGATTTAATTAAAATATTGAGCTTCAAAATATGAAGTTTCAAAATCTGGAAAGGAATATTATATTCTTTATTCTGTTAATAAGTAGATCAAGACAGAAAAATAGGAGATTTCTTTAAAAATATACATTATTTGTATTGTATTGTTATTTCTAAGCCATATTTTATTTGATTTTATCTTTAAAATACTGAGAACAATGTGAAAAAAGGGGAAATTAAAAAGACTGATGATAACATGATAGCCATGTGATCATTTTGGAACATTAAGAGAAGCATATTTTGTGTTTGGAGAGACAACATTTATATCAAAAACATGATTATGATGAATTGTTGATAAGTGAAGCAGTAGCAAAAATTATGTGCTGGAAAGTAAATAATAAAAATTTCATAAGTTGTCCAAGGTTTAATTGTCAATTTGGAAGAAAAAAAAATCCTTCCAGAAATATTCTAAAGACATTAACAGATTTTTTTATTGCTGTTACCTCTAGTACAGAACCAAAGCAAGATTTTTAGATAAATGAAATATTCACCAGTGAGACAAAGTTAGATATAACAGAGAGACAAGGAAGCCTTCAGTAATCTGCTTAAGTTATTCCAGGTTTCAACCTTTTCTATGAGTGCCTGTGTAATAACATTCCCTTTGGAACTAATCTTATGAGTGTATTTATATAGAAAAGGAATCTTGGGAACGGAAATTCACATCTACAATACAAGATATTCTTGTTGGTTTTACCTGTCTTCCTCTAAGAAACTTATATATTCCCTTTTTGTTTATTTTATCTATGAATCTGAAATATTGGTTCATACATGTGAAATTGCCTGATAGGGTTGAATCTGAAATTGGTGTCAGTACTTCAATTCATCTGCATTAGATGAGTAGTAAAACTATCTCCTACATTTAGTCTTCAGTTCAGAGCGTTCTAGATTAGAATATTTGTTTAGGTTCCAGAATTTCTTAAGTATTTAGAGGTAGTCTGTTGGCTTAACCAGATCTAGGAGGTTATACAAGTTTTGTTTAAGTTTTGCTATTTGTAAGATGTTACTCTCACCTCTTGACCAGGATATCCAAGACATTTTCTTGCTTAAAGTAGAATGGCAAAGGATCATATCACCATTTCCGAAGGTCTATCCTTTGGTCAAAAATCACCTAATGAATTTCAACTCCTGTTCCTATCTAGCTGGTCATTAAATTACACTAACTAAAATAAGTGTTAGAAACAACCTCGTAAGTAAAGATTATATTAAATAATCTTTGGCATGCAGCTTTGCACACACAAACATGCATTTGGGTTTGTAATCCATAATTCCAATATTTTAAAGGCTGCAGTCCAAGATTTTCAAGCTTTATACATTCTTTATCCTGTTTATTTTAGTAAGATTTTAAAGTATTTTTTTTGGCTTTGAATTTTCTTATATATATATATTTAGAAAATGATTTCTGATGTTATTTTTGTCAAAGCCTTGGTCTTTATGTTAGAACTATTCTGTTACATCTTTGATTATGTGAAATAATGGATGACCCAATTTTCTTTTCTTTTCTTTTGCTATCTGTTCAGTATATTGAAACTGTTGGGATTAACCAATTTATAAGTTAGAGGACTTTTTTTTTAAATTGTATTTTTCCTGACTTGGATATAAATTATATCAGATTGATATGTAGATCTCAGACATAAAGCTGTCCTTGATGATGGTTAAGCACTCTGTTGTTATTCTTCTTTAAATGACTAACCTGGACTAAGAGATTGGAGCAAGAGGTATTTTGCAAAATTAAACCTGTTTCACCTGAACATGTTTTAACTAGTTAATAAGAAATATCAAAACAAAAAACAAGGCAAAAGACAAAAGTCAAAACCCTAAGGTCAATGAGCATTCTTTCTGAAAAGTTAGTATTTGATGTTTAAATTTGTTTTGGGGGGTCTGTCTATAACATAAGTTTTAATAACCTAGCTCAAATGCAGATTTCTAATTTTCAATTAACTTAGGAATAATTTTGTTTGCTAAAATAAAATAAATGAATGACAAGTCTGAACCTTGAAATGTTCTAGATAGAGCTTTTTAAAAAATTCCAAATTTTTTCAAAAAAAATAATAATCATGTGGCAACTGTATAGCTCAAGCTTTAAGTATTAACTTTTAACCTTTGACCTTACAGATTTTAACCAATGAAATGTCTCTTTAAACTTTAAAGGAAACAATGATAACGAGCGCCTGGCGATTGCTAGACAGCGAATTCCATATCGGCTTGGTCGAGTAGTTGATGAATGGCTACTCGACAAAGGTAAAAACATTGATTAAAACTTCAAATAAAAAAATAATTTGAACATAACCAAGTAGTGCATTGTAACACCAATAAACATAAAACAATAAATTTTTCAGTAAAACTAAATTAAAAACAAATTTTAAACAGTTAAATGTAGAGTAAATATTTGCATACAGTGTATATAATAATTTCTATACATTTTAGTGGTACCGCCTGTTTAACAATCGTACCCTGTTAACTTAAGGTTAAAGGGACTGTTAAATATAATCCACTAACTCAATCTATGAAGATATTCATAGCAAATATTAATCAAAACTGATAAATTATTCATAGATTATGTTACATATTCCTTCAGCTAAATTATTAACTAAATATCTATATATGTATGTAGTTATGAGATGATCTTCCTGAAACAAACAAAAATCATTTTTTTAAACTATAGGTTATATCTTAAATAGTGGGCTGTATCATTGCCAAACAAGATGAAGTCCCTTTAACATTTGCTACCTTCTAAGGAGATTTTGGAACAAGCACTAATTAAAAGAGTTTAAAGTTGTGTGCATGCTGTTATTATGAGCAGAATCCAATCTGCAAAAAAAGAATATTATGTTTACGAATATTCCTATTGATAATGGGTTTTCACTGGTGAGGATTTCTTTTTTAAAAATAGCAATGTGACATGACTCTTCATTGATATGTGTATCATTCCTTGAAATTGTTTTTACATTAAAACATTTTTATTTTGTTGCTTTTTTTTCTTTAGTTGATGGCCTTGCTGAAAGATAATCAGACATTTCTCTTTCTCTCTTTTTCTTTATCATTTCTGTTTGTTTCTGAAATGCTCAGCATAGAATATGTATCCCATGCCTTCTCAGTGTCTACATGTGTGTGTATGCCTTTTGTAAAGGAGTAATTCAACTTTCATATATGAAGTCTTTCTATTAGAAATATATGAGCTATTCTTACTAACATGTTTTAAAACAGATAGCCTTATAATAGCATAACATAAGCAGAGATATATCTTATGCTTCAGTTTAATTCTTTAAGGCTAACCTTTATTCAGCATCATGGTAGTTTCCATATTGCATAGTTTTACACAGAGAAATGATTGTATGAAAGTAATATCATATACTTATATTGTGCAATCCTTGAATATTGCACATTTTGTATGATAGCCCTGACTATCTGTCCCCACCATATATTTAAGATAAAGAAAACTATTTGGAAAATGTTTGAGGGGAAATAGTGGGAAATAAAGTGAAGTGGCAATATTAACAAAATTCTCAGTTCGCCTTTTTGTCATCCCCCCCCCACACAAAACAGAGCTAAGCAGTTACATATATAAAACAGTACTGCATTCCATAACACCTCATTAAAAAGCATATGAAATATGAACAGATTTCCTTTCTTATACTTTATTACTCTCATCCTCCACCCCATATCTGTTAAAATCATCCTCTTTAAGAGTGTGGTGTTCACAATCAACATTTTTTGCATGTATGTAATATTATTTTCACAGGGCGTCAACTCACAATCTTCAATAGCCAAGCAACGATAAAAATTGGAGGCAAGGAGCGAGGTCATCCATTTCAGGGTCAGCTTTCTGGACTCTACTACAATGGTTTGAAAGTCCTGAACATGGCTGCCGAGAATGATGCCAACATAGTGATAGAAGGGAATGTCAGACTCGTTGGTGAAGTGCCTTCCTCTATGACAACTGAGTCAACTGCCACTGCAATGCAATCAGAGATGTCCACCTCAGTCATGGAAACTACTACCACTCTGGCTACCAGCACAGCTAGAAGAGGAAAGCAACCTACAAAAGAATCCATTGTTCAGGTTAGCCCACTGTGATTTCATTTTTCGATCTGTGGTTTTCTTTTTAGATTTTCAGCATATACTTGCCTTTAGTAGATGAAAAAATCTTTACGGTTATAATCATCAGACCATGGATGCGACATTGACTTAAATGTTGTAGAAGGAAAGCTATGTTGATGTATGGTATGCATGTTTTAATGAAATAAGCTATAGCTTATAAAAATGTATGTTTTTTAATATTTATTAATCAAAAAGGTGTTTTTAAATAATTAAGGTAAAAAGGTATTACCAGATTCCTTCTGGTTTTTGAATACACAGGCTGTAGCAAGTGCATTCTCTGGGAGGCCATCATGTGATAACAGTGTGCCTGTGCTAATACCCAGAAAACCAGGGTATTATATTATTTTCCTTATATTAGCTTGAAAAAAGCAGATAGCATCAGGAATAAGGAATTTATACTTTAAAACAGCAACTATGCTAAAATTAAACATTTGGACTATGAGCACAACTAAAAAAGCAGAATTCTGTCCTTTTCAAATTGAGCAAATTAATATGTTTACCTTGAATGCTTAGAAATAAGGAATGATACTTTTACTTGCTCCTTGTTAAACTCAACTGTATACCTTATACAGGAGCAACAGTATAAGATATTTCCCTCCTATGTCAGGTTAATGGCCTGTCCAATCCTTACCTGTCTCCCAAGCTTTCCGTTGTTTGTACCTGAGCCTTTCCTAGCCTAGAAACCTAAAATTTCTTGCATGCTATATGGCCAAACATACATATAAAATGAAATGTTGGTTGTTACACTGATTGTAACAAAATATAATGAAATTTCCAAGCATGAAGCAAGTGAGTCTCTGGATGCAAGTATTCATATTACTTTACTAAACATATCCTGAATTTGGCTTAGTGCCCTTTGAAGTTTGGGCTTAGTTTGAAATGAGCTCAATTTTGTACCATTCTAGGTTTCCAGTTCTTGTCATTGTCAGCTTAACCTACCCCCTTAAGGTGAGGCCTTGTAAAAATGGGATTGAGCAGTGTGAGCTATTGGTAAAATCATACTTGACTCTTAACAGATGTTGAGATGATGTTGAGTCATCCAGGCAGCCTCACTTTCAAGAGTATATAAGGTGAGGAGTGTTTGAAGGTAATCACATTCACAATAAATCAGATTGAATATAGGTTTAACAAATAGGCCATTCTCTAAAATTATTTATTCATCAGAATGTGTGCAAATGAGAACTTGCAGCATGATGTTGTGGTTTAGAATAATTTTACTTGGTCACTTCCAGCATACTCTATTCCACTTTTTCTTCTACAGATATTGAACATTATATGGTCACTATGCACACTTAATTGGGCCATTTTTGTGAAGGAAATAAATTATTGCTTTACTATATCCTTTCCCTCCCTTGTGAAAATTATTAGTTGTTCCATTTGAATGTCAGTGCTTCTTTCTCACTCTGTGTTACTATCAGTATCATACCTGGTTTGAAATAATCCAAGTAGACAAACATTTATGATAAATTGTTTCTACTTACAGAAAATTCTAGCACCTTACTGCCTTCTATAGAGCATTTGCATTTATGTAGCCCAAATATGGTTTAACGTACTTCTTGGCTACATTGTTGTCATGAATTTGTCACTGGAATTCCCCATCTGAATATATAAGAATTACATCATTATTGCATCATCCATGTATATGTATATTAATGTTATGCAGTATAAATTGTACTTGAGGGGGGACTGGCGGTTATCAGTATAACAAAGGTGAGTAGGAAGATATTTTAATTATCCAATTCTGAAGGTAATTTAAATCTGAAGATTCAAATTTTGTTCTTTCATGAAGTATAAGGCAGGTGGCTTTTGTGTGAGATAACTTTCATTTCATTCTGTATCATACTTCCTAAAACATATGTAAGTTAGCTAAAACTTACATGTGTAAGCTGTTCTTTATGATGAACCGAGCATACAAAACTGGTGGTTTCCTGGATTTTTAATGTTTCAGGAAATAAATAGGTTGCCAGTGTTTTACAGCCTTTGTTCTTGTATTTTTCATAGGCAACATGCATATAAAGATGAAACAAGTGAAGATTTGTTTATGGTATATACAAATTAGACTGCAATGGTTGTACTTTATCTGGAGACTCCTGTCCCATCTTAGGCACAAAACCATCTGTTTGATCTTGGGTCAGTTATTCTCCCTCAGCCCTAAGACGAAGCCATTGGGAAACCATTAAGTGGTTTCATGGGGAAAGTCACCCGGAGTCAAAAATAACTTGAAGGCAAAACTTTTTTTTTTACTAACAACAGCTAGATTGGTGAGATTTAAAATAGCTTTTCTTTTTAATAGTATGATTGCCAAGCTACCCAAAGCCAGAATAAGACAGGCAACAAAATTAAACAAAAAAAAAGTTGCAGTGTAAAGTGTTCCAGTTCTAACCTATTAGGCAGAGCCATGACCTTTGTAGAACAGGCCATTCTGTTTTTTTCATCTTTATCTTTTATTTTCCAGAACATACCTTGCCTTCTCAAGCTATCGATTTAGCATAGTTATAGCTGGGATATCTTATTGCTGTTCTCTTATCATTGTTGCTATAATTTTATTTAATGTTAAATCTGCAGTCTTTGGTTGTCCAAAGCCTTTAGGTGGCTGATGAGGTTTTAGTTACAAAGGGATTTGCACTTGGAAAATGACTTTGCTGCTACTGTATTTATTAGATGAAAATTTGGAGAAATGTTACTCCAGAGATGCTAATGCTAAATAAATACTTGTCTTCAATGTCAGCAGGTTTGGGGTTCCTGATTATCCTTATCTAAAATATATCCCATAATTAAATCCTTTATTTGATTTTTTCTGTCCTTGTTGTTGTCCTATGCTGAAATAATTACAACTTGAAAAATAGACATAGTTGGCAAGTATCCTTTTTAGGCTATCAACAGAACTTGAAACATTATTTTTGTTTGCTTGGATTTTTTGTTTGTTTGTTAATGGCACTGGAAAGTTGTAATCACATCAGAAGGATTAAGAAGGAAAGTAAGTAAAAGTTTGGGGGAAATGGATGGGTATTGATAGTAATAAGCCAGCTGGGAGAACCTTGGCCTATAAAGTGAGATGAGATCAAACCATGGCTACTCGTAGCAGTATTCTAGAGAAATCTTGCTTTAGATTTTTCTAACCACCTGAGGAGTAACTCACATAGCAACTCTGTGATTATCTCAACTTTGTGGAAGAGAACTGTGGATGATGAAGAGTTATTCATACAGAGAAGTGATCAACTGAGCAAGATATTCTGACAGTTAGTATGATATGAAGAAGAAAGAGAAGACGGAGGATGAAAAATGAAAGGCTGCAAGAATTAGGCTCTGAGAAACAAGTGGGGTATGGAGAGTGTAGAGAATAGCTTTGGTAGAGAGAAGGAAGATCCATTGTCAAGGCAGCAAAAAGATAAAGAGCCTGTAGAATAAATAGATTTATGAAAATGTCAAAGATAGGCACCCCCTAATTCACATAATATATGAAAGAAGGAGGAGGGGAAGCACGTTAAAACCTACAAAAGTCTGTTATTATAGCCATTCTTATTAAGAGTAGTTCTGTTATTATAGCTATTCTTATTAAGAGAAATACTGTATGTATTTCTCTTTCTTGTATCTTGTAGGGTTGACAAAGAGAGGGAGGTAGAGAGCAAATAATAGTTCTTTGGGGTAGGTACAAAGATATAAGTGATTTAACTGAGTCTTGCGTTGGATCCACAATTAAATGGGATTATTGGGAGCTTTGGAGAAAAATGGGAGTATAAAAAAAGAGATATTTATACGGATTGGCAGAGAAAGAATAGCAAGAGGTGTGAGGCCACTCTCAGTGAAGAATGTTTGAAACCAATCCTCATTTACATTTGAATGAGCCGTGGTGGCGCAGTGGTTAGAATGCAGTACTGCAGGCTGCCTGCAGTTTGGCAGTTTGATTCTCACCGGCTCCAGGTTGACTCAGCCTTCCATCCTCCCAAGGTTGGTAAAATGAGGACCCAGATTATTGGGGGCAATATGCTGACTCTGTAAACTGCTTAGAGAGGGCTGTAAAGCACTATGAAGCGATATATAAGTCTAGGTTTAAGTGCTATTGCTACATTTCCTTGTCCTCAAGCCAGAAGCCTTTGGACTCTGGCTGGTTTTGCTGAATGCCAGGTCTGCCGTTAATAAATTTTCTCATATCCATGATTTTATTTATGGATGAGAGAGCAAACCTGGCCTATATTACTAAAGGGGAAAGAAGGACGTGTTCCCCTTTATAAACTGTGTCAGCTGGCACAGGAGAGGAAAGGTAACAGTTGCCATCTGGGAATCTCTGATAGCATTTAGAGGCACTATTCCACAGATAACTAGATGTGAAGCATTGTCTGTGTGGATTGCTTCTAGGACAGGTTGGTTTTGTCCCCTCTGATTAGGTCCAGCAGCCTTGCAGTATCCTTGACTGGGCTGCTGGACCTCATCACAGGACTGGCAGTGAAGTTTCCCAGGCAAATAGTGCTGAGTGATATCAATTTATCTTCTATGGTGAAGAAGGTCAGAGCTGCCCAAGAATTCATAGCCACCATGGATGTGTTTCAGATCATCAAAGGCCTAATTCATGTAGGAGGACATACATTCCATCTGGGTTTTATTTTATGGCAGATGCAATGTTATGTGAGGATGAAGGATATAACATGAAGGATATAACAGCTGCCAAAAAAGCCAACACAGGCTGCATTAACAGAGGGATAGAATCAAGATCACGTGAAGTATTAATACCACTTTACAATGCCTTGGTAAGGCCACACTTGGAATACTGCATCCAGTTTTGGTCACCA